TATCGGATATACATACGTAAATATTTTATGTAAAATAATCAAAAGAGAGTATTTTCAAAACAAAATCAAATGAGAATTACCACTCTAGTAAAACTATGAAAAAACCCTAAACAGTTTTGGTTTTACCCAAAAACTCTTATTTTATCCATTTTGGCTAATGATGATTATAATGAATTTGTTATAGATGAGTTTTTTTTCTCCAAATGCAGGACTAATTAAACTAGTCAAACTTGAGTTTGGAAATACTTGTTCAATACATGGAGCTTATTGCTCTTGAAAGTTTTTTTTACTCAACCAAATTGAATTTGACCAAATGCAAATAAATCCCTTATAAAGTACAACATAAAAATAGCATCCTAGTTTCTGCTTGCAACCTATATAGTCTTTATTACCAATCATAATGGAAAAATGTGATTTATCTTGCAAAGTCGGCTTTTTCCTCTAAAGAGTAAACGACTTTGAAGCTTAAAAAAAAGTCTTGACGAAATTAAAAGACAAGTATGGTGCTTGCGCCCAAACGCATTATAAAGTTTGCACGTAATCTCATACCTTCTTCGGAACTAAGTGTGACACATCATTACTCTTTAATTTAAGAGAATGGGTTCATTGTCTTTGGCCTCAATCATTTACAGAAAGATGGAGTTTTGGTCCGAACAAAATTTGCTATCTTTTTTTTATCGATCAATTTTATTTTCTGGTTTGAATGTGAATACAACTCGAAGTTATAAATCATGAAAATTTGGCTCTTATGACGAACCATTTTGGTATAGTTTGAAAAACCCGATTTTCCCTTTTTTTTCTTTTCAAAACGGTCCTATAACTCTATTTCTATTAGGAAGGGACCCAAACTCCAAGCTCACATTCACATTTGCAACAACCTCTTAAATCATTGGGTTAATTTGCAAAATAGCAAAAAAAAATAATAATTTAACAACTAGCTAAAATTATCTTATGTGGCAAAACTATATAATCACTAGAATTAGGATAATTGATTAGTTTTAAAATTATAGAATTTTTGTTGGTTATCCTTGCTAATTTTCCTAAATCATTTATATATATCTTTTTTTTTTTAAATTGATAGTAAAATTCATTCAAACCCAAAAAACGTTTTTATAACAAATATATCCAATAGTTTATTTTATTTTCTAACACAATTTATGGATTTTGCAAACTCAATATCATTTTTTTTCTTTTGCAAACTCAATACTACATTTCTACTAAATACTTGTATTCCCTATCCTACAATCTACATATACATATAATGAACGATCTTTGTATATATGACAAAAAAAAATCATCAAATAATAATAAAAATGCATAGAATAAATCTAATCCTACT